TACTGATGCCTTTGAGATGCGTGATCTCAAAAAACATGATCACTACCTCGAATTCTAGGTCCATCCTTCGGTTATTCGCATAGCGTTTCTGTCTACTCTAGGCTACTGAATGTTCTTTCTGATCTTAATAATCTTTATAGTAGTTTCATCTACTAACTTTAGGCCAATTAACTTCTTTTTTCTAACTTCTTCCCAGTAGATTGGAGACCTACGAGGTCGGCCATACAATGCTTCATAGGGGGTCATACCAATACTTACCTAGTAGTTATTGTTATAAGCATCTATCAGTGTTAGATGATCATCCCAACATATATAATTATAGCTAATTCCAAGTCATGAGTTGGGTAATTTCATTCATGGATCTTCAATTGTCTTGACTCGTATGCGATGACTCTACGATGTTGCATTAAAACACATCCTAAATGCTGACTTAATGTATCAGTGTACACTGCATAACCTCCTAATCCACTTGGTAGAGCTAATATTGGAGCTGTCACAAGTCGATTTTTAAATTCTCTGAAACTATTCTCACTGTCTGGATCCATTCAAACTTAGTATCTTTCTTACTAAGCCGGGTAAGAGGGGTTGCAATCTTAAAAAATTCTTTCACAAATCGACAATAGGTTTTAAACTCTATCCATGTCTAGGTTCGCCATGTCCGTTAAACTTCAGCCAGACACACACACTCCCCTCCTCGATTCATACTGAACAAGAAGGCATCCAGGGTCTATACCTTACTCACGCACAACCTCTCATTTCTCAATTCTTATTTACTTCCCTATTTACTCTATTTTTCTCTTAAATTTTATTTACATTTGTCGTTTAACAACCATAATTATTCTCTTCTATTTTTACTCATTTCCTTACGTTATTTTCTTTTCTTTTTCTCAATCTTTCACTTTATTCGTGATTTCTTTAATTTAATTTTTATATTTTATCATCAGTGTAGGTATTCCTCAGTCCTTATTTTTTTGGTCTCCATCTCCTCATAATTTTCAAACAGGTTAGGGTTCACTCGTCATAGGTTCGAGTTATGTTCTTCATCAAAAATTAGGTTAGTACATGTTCTATGTTTAAAATACACACAAAATTAATAACATACATGCATAAATTCCAAAAATCCTAATATAGGCTCATAATGGGAAATACTTACAACTCCTTTGGGCTACAACCTTCTCGGATCTGCTTGAACATCCTAATTCACTGTACACACAGGATACAGATTAATTAATGCAATTTAAACACTAAACAGAAGCTAAATTCAATCAAAATCACGGGTTCCAATGATAACCCGACGAGATGCCCAGCTCACAGCATAAGGGTGAGCAATTTGCTCCCTTACGCTCTCGATTCTCAAACTAAAAAATATCAGGTTCCATACCCGATGAAGACTCTTCGGCTTCCCGAGTGGGTGAATCGGGTTCCCATTCCCGAGGAAGACTCTCTGGCTTCCACTGGTGAATCAGATTCTCGTACCCGAGGAAGACTCTTCAGCTTCCCCAGTGATGAATTAGGTTCCCGAGTGGGTGGGTGACTAGCCGAGCTCGCGCAGCTAGCCTGACACCAACTATCCGTCCCCGTCGCCCTGACAACCAACCAATCATTAAAAAAAAAAACTTACTTGCGCCGGCGTGGTGCGATTCGGTCTTAAGTTCGACTCTGGATGGTCTTCACGGCTACCTTGCAACTCTCCTTTCTTGCTTGAGATTTGGATGACGGATTTCATGGCTACAAATAGGTTAATATGAAATAAAAAAATTATTGAAGGAAAATAGAGATGAAAAGATGAAAAAGACAAAATTTTTACCTTACTTGCTTCAGTTTCCATTGTCACACAGTGCTCCTCAACCTGATTCATTTCCTTCTTCCTTCCTTCGGTGTCGATTATGCACTCTCCTTCTCGCTCTCTCTCCCGGTTCTGACTCTTTCCTTCTCTTCTTTCATCTTCTTCGACCACTCTCTTCTTTTCCTCTCTTTCTCTCTTCCACTCGGCTCTCGCTCCATTCTGCTTCCTTTCGGCTCCCCCACTCAACAGTTCTCTCCTCATCTCTCTCTTTTTTTTCAACTTCCCTCTCAAATAAAGAAGAAACCCTAATCTTTTCCTTTATATATCCGTCTTTCTGGGCCTCTAGATCTCACAAGACTCAATCTGGACCGTTTAACCTTCATAAAACCTCAATCATTGGATCCCTCAGACAATTCGATTATGACCATCCATCTCTTAATTCTTTTTGCCCCCTTCCACTTCCATATAATTATACTCTTACCCCCTTTTTCATACATGTTTTAGTTAGGTATTTGAAATTAAATAACACTCCAAAAGTTTAAATTTTTATTTCATTTAGACCCTAATACCAATTTATTTATTTTGTCATCTTTTTAATTTATCTAGGGTCCAGATGTTACAACCTCCCTTGCATACTTACCTCAGAATATCTAATATCCATGAGGTATGTCTAAATTCTAAAATAAATACTCACTAAAAATGAAATAATTAACATTAAATACTGTTCGAATTAAAATAAAAATTAACAATCTCTTACTAAGTCTTTCACTATTAAGGAGTGGGGTTTTGAATATCCTGATCCGGAAGAAATGATTAATAAATAAGATGAGCTTAATATGCTCAATAAGTATGTAAGTACCAATAAATAATAGGATAATCTATCCAAGTTGATAAAACCAATAAAACTACCGGCGGAGACGGTTCATAACTCAACTAACTAGTTTATTTAGTAAACATTCAGAATTTATTATTTCAGTATCATAACTCAACAGTTTAATAAATATCATAATTCAGTATTCAGTATCACTATTTAAGCTGTAAGTAGTTTAATAGATATTAATTTAGTATTTAAGTATAAACGTTCCACATGACTCCTTATTCATTCATATCGGTTTATATCCTATTAATAATAGTTTCATCGCGCGATGTCATTCCTGTAGGTATCAACGAGGGCAGTAAGGATCTCATCTACCACGTGAATACGTTACAGTTCAATTTGTAGTTTACAATTTGCAGTATATAGTATTCAGTTCATAGTTTCACAGTACTTGTCGCTTCGCCACGTCTGGCTAAAGCCATATCCACGAGTATGGTTCACCAAGTCACACGCCAAAAGGCTACACACGCATCCACCCCTCGATGATACTGGTTAAATGAATTTTCTAAATATTTTAATGTCTATCTACTTATTTATATTCATTAATAAAATTTTTAATTTTTATTATTTAATATGTTCTGTACTTATAACACGCATATTGTACCTATTTATCACTTTAAACTCTTCTACATATCCTTAATATACTCCCAATTATATAGCAACCAGTGCATATACGAGTTCAGTTGCCAAGATATAGCAAAAAAATTCATTAGTAATTTCAGTAGTAAAGATAAATAATAATACAACAATCAATAGTAAAATCTCGTCAGAATCATGCGCCTAATTACTAATTATTAAACGTCACAGTTTTAATATCTAAGAAAGATTAAACTATATTTATAAGCACTTATGCACTTACCTGATTTTCATCTAAATCTTATTCGTGAAGTTATCTCCGATCTATAAAGTCAATAATGAATTAGTTATCCTCTAATTTTCAAACACGTGTATACACTTATTTCTAATTCTAAATCGGATAAATAATTTATTGTGTTAAATTAATAGATTATAACTCTAAATCTAAACGGTAAACCATTAGTTTTTTGATTCACTACTCGAATCGGGTTCTAGGACTCATTGCGCATACTACCGGAAGTATGTG